TTTTTGGTGCATTCGTGTATGGAGGACCCTACCACTTGCGGGGGCGGGGAAATTTTCGGGGGCGGGGGGGGGTCAGTCTCGTGGCCCCTCATTTTTTTCGCATAGCTCAATGTGCATTGCAAAGCGGCAGCAATCAAACGTCAGGAACATGAGCTGTCGCTTGCACCGCAGCCAGCAGCAGTTGCCGAGGCACGCGTCTGCAGTTACATTGATCAAGAGTCGCTCGCTGTTCTTTAGTTGCCTCCCCAAGCGACAGCAATCCAGACACGCTGCAAAAGGCCTTGTGACACCGAACAGCCGAGCAGCCTGTGTTGCACGTTAGGACAACGAGCTGATCGTTGCCGCGGAGCCGGCTGCAGTTCTCGAGGCTCCTTCTTGCCAATGCAGACGTTTTGCTGCCTTTTGTATGGGGCAAGTAGCAGTAGCAATGCCCAAGCAACACCGCGTCTTGCATTCCGCACCACACCGAGCTGAAGTTGAGGCATGCATCAGTTGCAGCGTATGTTGAAGCAAGCTTGCCGCGGTCAGGATGACAAGGACAAGGAGGACGTTCCATCCATGCAGGAGCACTATCAAACAAGGGTTTGCGACGTAGCCATGCCGCCAGCACTGGGTATGCAAGTGCTGTGTGCCAGTGGCATGGGTCGCGGAATGCGGCGTAATGATGTGGCAGGCCTTGCTCGCCCAGATCGACAATGACAACCTCGAGGCCAGCAGCCGTCTTTCGATCTTCTGATATCATGATGCCAGCAGCCGGCTTAGGCAAATTGGCACGTGTGTGGGATTGCGAACCAGACACTGTTGAGATCTGTTGAGCGAGACAGTGTTCGTCGATTTTCTCGGTAGGTGCTAGACTGCTAGAGACGCACGAAAAGCTACTCGATGCACTGGGATTTCGAAGAAGCCATAGGAGGAAGAAGTGCATGTTACACTAGTCTGACAAGCGGGATTTGATCCTCGAAGATGAAGGAATCGATTTCAGTAACAGACCGTGAGACGGTAAATGTGTGCGCCCTGTACCCGCTGCAGAAAGCAGTGGTCGCTTTGGTGCCTCCCGGTGTAGCCAACACGGCGGGGGCGAACGCATAACAACGAACGAGCCACTCGTAAATAAGCCCCGAGGAGCATGACGAGTGCCGGGAAGAGGGGGGCTATGCTCGCTGCTCTCTCTTGGCGAACTATGCATTACAAAGCGGCAGCCATCACATGTCAGGAACACCAGCTGACGGCTTCACCTGAACCAGCTGCGGTTGCCAAGGCAAGTTTTTGCTTCAGACTAGTAACTAATTCAGCAATGAAGTTCAAACCGCAAACATTTTTGGTTACGGCCGCAGCGGCCTGTGCATGCTACATTCATAGGAACACGAGTCCGTGGCAGCAGCTTAGCTAGCTACGGTTCTCGAGGCACATTTTTTGTTGCAATCGCGTATGTTGGACATTGGGTTGCATGTACATAGACCAAGAGGCCAGTAGCGGCTGCAGTGTACTTATCACGAAACACAATGAAATCCTGCATGCCTCACCGAAGCAATTCGAGTTTGACTTGAGATCATCAGCAATTGAAGCATGCGTCATTAGGGTTTGGGTCTGCCGTGTTGGGGATTTTGGCGTTTTCTAAGTTCTAATCATATTTTATGAAACCCAGCAAGCCACCATTTCGGTAACTGGAGCCCTATAGGCAGTGTTACGTGCCAGGAGGAGCTGAGGGCTTCAGCTGAGCCAGCGGCAGTTGAAGAGGCACGTTTCCACGCCATCGATGGGTGCTTTTTGGCTTTGGGCCAGTTCTTTAAGACTTCAAGGTCAGACCACCAAGAGTGTCTCCAAGTAATCGCCGTGAACACGAGACCGAATTAACCCCAAACACAGGAACCCTACTATAGGGTCGGAACACTTAGTCAGAGTATCGCCTTTGTAGCCCTAGATAACTACATCGTAACATACCTAAAACCCCATTCTTGTTATTTCATGTTATATCAGGCTCCTATGTACCACCCAGAGGAGTTCCAGAAAATCAGAGGGTGTGACACAGAACGCCACATAGCGGTCCCAATTGCGAGGTTCCTGGCTCACGCCAGTGGTTTTCAACAACTCTATACCTCCCCACCCCCGCTGGCAAATCGGGACCCTAAACCTTATGCCCTACACGCTCTACAGAAATCCCCACACCCGGAACCCCAAAATCTTAGAATCCTAAGCCTAAAGCCTATAAACTCCCTAAGAGCAGAAGCCCTGAAACCCAAAGACCGACGCAACAGTTGCCTGAACAATATTGCACCATGCCTTCGGAATATGATTGTCCAACAAGGTTTCCCCGAAACCTGTTCCAATAATCAAGGCCCCTATACTAAAACTCTTGCAGCAATTCTAGAGCTCTTTTAAAGGAAGGCTTTACAGTAGCCCGATTCTGACTATGAAGGCCCCTCTCTGACCCCTTGAGGGTCCTTTTTTCAGGGTGGCGTACTACGCTGGTGACGGTAAAACAGAACCCACTTTGGAGAACTACCCATAAACCCTGAACCCTGAAAGGAGCCCTGAACAGGACCCCAACAGGCACTCCCAGTTTAGAGAACTTCCCATGTGCATAGACCCCTTTTAAAAGGAACCCTCTTAGGAACCCTTATAGGCCCTACAAGGGACCCTAATTTAGGGAACTACCCATATTCCTGCTCGGTAAGGACGAAGTCGATGAGGCCAAGTCCACCGGCGCTGTGGAGCCGGAGGCCTTTCCTCGTCACATATCCGGGCTCTTAACAGTTATAGGCTTATAGGGTTTAGGGAAGCAGGGCTTTTAGGATTAAAGGGGGTTTAGGGCTAAGGATAGCACTCAGAATTGGGTTTGGGGTTTAGGGTTCAAGGGCTTAGGGTAACAAGTGGAATAGGGGTCCGGGCAAGGGCTCCTTGAAAGCGCGCCTGGAAAGGGTTCCTGTCAAGGGTTCGATATGTGTAGCACAGGGGCGGGCCTTAATGATTAGATGGCTTCGGAAGGTTCTATAAGGGTAAGGGCTTAGAAGAGGGGCCTCAATAATTATGATAAGGTTTTGGCGTGTTTAGTCTATAGAAATGCGGCCTCCCGGGAATACCCTTGATAATTTGGGCTTCTATATTCAATGGATGTTTGGGGTTTAGAGTTCCGGCAAGGATTCCCTCAAGGGTTGCGACACGGGTTCCCAGAAGGGGTTTGGGGCCCTGCATTTTGGGGTTTCGGGGGGAAGAGCTACAACCAATATAGACCTGTCGAACAGACGACAACCGCAGAAGCATGCGGACCTCTGAGAAGAAAAGGACCGGGAACTCCAATGCGCGCCAGCCGGCTTTTTGTTGATTCGGTGCCGCGTGCATAGCTCACTGTGCATTGCAAAGCGGCAGCAATCAACCGTCAGGAACATGGGCTGTCGCTGTCACCGGAGCCAGCAGCAGTTGCCGAGGCACGCCTGTGACGTTGATCAAGAGTCGCTCGGTGTTCTTTAGTTGCCTCGCAAAGCGACAGTAATCCAGACACGGTGCAAAGACTCTTGTGACACCGAACAGCCGAGCAGCCTGTGCTGCACGTTAGGAGAACGAGCTGATCGTTGCTGCTGAGCCGGCTACAGTTCTCGAGGCTCCTTCTTGCCACGTTCTGCTGCCTACGGTATGTTAAACCCTAACCCTAACCCTCCAGGTACCTACTATAGAGGGCTAGGGGCTCTAGTACCCTATATAGTAGGTACCTGGGCGGTTAGGGTAAGCCTGAGGCTGGCACGGCTGGCTTGGGATCCTGCCTGCTTGGAGCCTTCAGCCGGATGTCCCAGGAGCAGTTTTCCCAACAGCCGTCCCCGGAAAAGCTGGCGGAGGCCTACTTGCCTGGGTTTAGGGTTTAGGGTTTTAGGGTTTTAGGATTTAGGGTTTAGGGTCTAGGGCTTTAGGGTTTTACGGTTTAGGGTTTAGGGTGCATTCTTATCTTCCTTTCGCAAGTGCTGGCAATCGGAAGTTGTTCTGCTTTCTTGATTTGGAGCAGGCCGAAAGGGAGCTTTTGCTATTCTTTTGCAGGAGCAAATGGTGCAGCTTCCAGCAGATCTTCCCGCGCCTGCTGAGGCTCACTCGGCTTTGTTGCCGTTGATTTTTGAAACTTTGTGATTCGTTGGTACCTGGCAAGCTCTTTCGACAATCGAAACCCTGCTCAGAATGCAATCGCACAACCCATCTGGGCGGATCGACAGAGATTGCAGGGGCACAGCGGCAAAGTGTTCAGGGGGCTCTTGAAGGGCTCCTCGGAGAAGGTACTTTAAGCTGCAATACTAGTCATGCCGATAATGGTGTAAACCCCTAAACCCTGAACCCGTGAACCTACAGGCCGAAACTCCTGACCGAAACCCGGAGGTCTCGGATGAGATGCTTGATGACACCAGTCCGAGCGACCTGGTTTTGCGGTCGGTGTTGAAGGAGGCCAAGTCCATTGCTTGCATACCTGCCAGCACTCGCTATGTCAGTATGCCATTAATACGGGGCAAGCCGAGGTGTTGGACAACCCCTGACTCATGCTTTTGGTTTCATCAAGTTTCTTTAGCTGCAGCAGTGCTTTGTTTATGCAGACGCAGAAACTTACTGTAACACGTTAGAACTATGCCGTTTGCCCGCATGTATGTCTCCATGGATGCATGAAAATATGCACATTTGAGAAGTTGTATTGATTTCCAGGAACACAAGCATGCACGAGCATTCAAGAACGATTGCATGAATATGCAATGCGAGCCCTATCGAAGGCTGCGCGGGCTCATTGCGGAAAACACAAGTTACACCTCCGGACGTGGGTCATCTTTACAGCCTGGTGAGAGGAAGTATCTTCGACGACCGTAACTTGCAGGCCGAGACCCTTGAAAAGAGCCGGCCACGGATCAGGGAAGAAGAGGAGGCACACTGCTTTTGGTTAAGGGTTTAGGGGCACGACCTCCTAGAGTGTGGGTTTCTAGCCCAGGAGAGGCTGCAGCTACCGTGAGGAATTGATGGTATAGATAGGTGCATACTCGATATGGCAGGGTCTTTGTGTTTTGTTCAATCCGGCCTCTCGGGGACAAATGCCTTTGTAAATCGTCAGGAGTCGCACTCCGTGCAAATAGGTGAGAAACTTGCCGCCTGAAGCATTGCTATGGCAGGCTTCAGCACTTTCGCAGCAATCACACTTTTTGCAGGTGTTGGTGGGTTAGTGATGTTTGTTTCTTAGCGAGGTTGTCGCATTTTGGCGGTACGGTGGTTTGGCATCTCTGGTCGCCCTTTGGGGCACGCAGTGATCCTGATGGTGTAAGGATATCGCGAGAGAGCGGAGATAAAGTGATGAATTTATCAGGGAATGGCAGTCTACCAGCATCCATTGAAAACACAGTGAATTATAGCATGAAGCTTTAAAAAATATGTTTCAAACGCAGAACGCATATGCTGCTAACTTGACTGAGACTCTTGACTGAGCTAATAACAAAACAGTACGCAGACGACTTACGGCGTGGCGCACCAGGTCGACAGCGACGGTGGTCATCCTCCACTATCACCTGTCTGGCCACCCAGACTTGGTAAATAAATGCCGTATTCAAACGTATGTAGCCCTCCCCAAGGCCTTTACTTGCTGGGTTTCTGTAAGCAGCCAGTAGTTTGAGGCACCATGTTTGGCTTATCATCTCGGCAAGCTTTCGGCAGAAGCTAGGGGCGAGCCCCAACCCCCGATGGGCTGTCTGCTTTTCGTTGTACTGGATACGCGGGGGGTATCAGAAAGAGAATCCCATGGCATTAAAGACCCCGTAAACAAAAGGATCTTGCTGACAAGGGCTGTCTTATAAAAAGGACTGTTTCTCCCTGTGGGGCACATGGCAGCTGCAACGTGGGTCTAAAAGCCCGATGCCAAAAGATCCTTCAACAACTTTGGGCCCCCAATCCCCTCCCGGCTTACAAGGGTGCTCTTTACGGTTTTCCTCGAGATTAGTCAGGGTTTCTTTTTGTTTCTGCTGGCAAGGGGGTGTCAAGGGGGTGTCCTTGTCTTGTAAACTATCCTGCATGCTATTAAAGTCCTTAGCCTCCACATTCCAATCGACTCCAACGGAGGCTCACACCCTGCACGCAACCTTAATCAATAGAAAGTTCGCATGATCTACTAACAAACAGGGTAACACAAAAAACGCACAACAACATGAATTCCAATGGTGATCGAAGACTATCCGGAAACAGCTGGTATCCACAAGAAACATGTACTAATGTGCAGTGGTGCATTTGCTAAGGTCCCATACATATAGCAATAAGGGCTTCTGAACTCTTGGTGAGAGACAACGAACCGTGGCAAATAACATGGAACGAGTAACATAGCAACCAGGACACAGAGCGACAGCAGCAGAAGCAATAGCCAACAGCACTGACAACAACGGCAAGACAACTACTACTGCTAGAAACAACCGCAGAAGGAAATCAGCACCATCATGACAAGCACCGTGGTATGAACACGACAACCAATCCTAACTTCGAAACGGGAAAACCGCCTCAGTTTACACTACACTGAAGGTCCTAAACTCTAAGCCTCTTCACATTGTTCCCTTCTTCACTTCTTCTGTACCCATAGGCTCCTAAGTAGTTCCTTTTTGTGGTGTATATTCAGAATCCTATAAGGCAATCCCGAAAAGGACCTAGTAAGGAGCCTATGGGTAAGCACTGACCGGCAAGCTACAAACCCTGAACCCGTAAATTCCAATCCGTAGGGTTTAGGGTTTAGGCGTTTAGGGTTTTAGGGTTTTAGGGTTTTTAGGGTTTTTAGGGTTTAGGGTTTTAGGGTTTAGGGTTTTAGGGTGTAGGGTTTAGGGTTTAGGGAGACGCCTAAACAGAACTCGAGGTCCTAAGAAATCTATGCTCGAAGCCCGAAACCCTTAGGCTCTCACCCCTGCGCTCCAAAACCCTACATCCGGAATCCCTAAGTTCCTGAACTGTACAAAAACCCTAATCCCCAAACTCAACAAGCCTGATACCTCTAAACTCTAGTCTAAACTGTAGACCCCCGCCCTAAAGTCGAACCCTAAACACCTGAACTCTGCTAGCTCTGCGCCTCGGTTTAGGGTTAAGGGTGGAACATTCAACCCCTAAACCCCGCAACCCTAGACTTAGACCTATAAGCCCTAAATAATAGAAAAACAAGGTGACACGTATTCGAGTGACTCCGGACGGTTTGCACGTCAGTTTTGTGTAGTGCAGGCTCAAAAATGCGCGAAACTGCTGTTTCAGTACATTATTGCTCGGGGGACGACTTATATGGAAGAGCGCGATCCTCGAGAGGGGTCACTTGGAATGAGCATTTTGCGCGTTTTACAGTGGTTTTGAGGACATTCTGAAGCAAGCGTTCGGGCAAAACTTTGCGTGGATGACGACTTCACAGGTATTAGCTGGGACTGGAAGTGGATTATTGCAGAAACCCATCCAACAAAAAATCATCGGCAGTAGTATTCTGTAACGAAGCCCTGTTCCGGAAGATATGCTTGTATAGTATGAGTTCGAAATGACTTCAACTCCAAATACACAGAAGTACTCGGATCCCGAGCCCTATACTCGAAGAACGATACGGAGCAGAACAAGAGCAACATCACTGCAGCACCATCACCAGTTAGAACAACAGCAGCGGCAGCAGCAGAAGCAACAACGACGCCGCCATCATCAGCACCAGCAGCACAACCACCCAGATTACAAACAGCTACCATCGAGAATCTGAGAAGTCCTCAGAAACCTGAAACTCGGACCCTAAGCTCACACAAACCTATAACTGAACACGGAACGTTTGGAGAACATTTCCTGACGCAAGTGGCAGCATCACACGTCTTAACAAAGCTGAGACCCTAAGGCCTTGGGCCCTGTGGCCAAGCACAAGTACATGTTCATCCGTACATGGCCAGGAATGAAGCCCCTGCAACATTCCTATGGCAGTATATCATCTCATGACAGAACATGATAGCATAGTTTATGTTTGGGAGTTTTGGAGGATGGTGTCCACACGGATGTTATTAACCTCCCCCCCCCCTCCCCCTCCCACCCCCGAAGGTCCCGACGCAGCTTTGTCTAGAATTAAGCCAAAACCCGAGTTTTAAGCACGTCGCCTGAAACCTGCAAAATCTCCGGAGTCACTGGAATACGTCTCACCAAAAACAAAAGTAACACTAAATCCTTGAACCCTAGCACCCTAACACCCTAAACCCTAAAACCCCAAAACAAAAACACACGCTAAAAAAATGCAGGCCAGGAACCTCGAGTCGGCATTGGCTGCTGCAGGCGAAGAGACTCCTCATTTCGAGGCGGGTTTTTAGGGGTTGTGGATGGAGGGTTTAGGGCTTAGGATTTAGGGATGCCGTGAGTGTCTTTGGGGTTTTGGGAGGAGGGGCAGTAGAGAATTATGGGGTTAGGGAGTAAGACTAAGAAGGGGATTAGGATAGTTTTTTGGGGTTTTGGGTTTGCATGGGCTCTGGAGTTTCATGGGGTTTTGGGTTGGCACCGAGGTTTAGTACTTGGGGACGACGTCAGGGGTTTAAGGTTTCAGTGTTTAGAAGGACGGGTTAGGGAGGAGGGATTTACATTTAGGGCGTTTTCTCCGGTTACGCGTTGCTTACA